AGTTCATGGGTTAATTGAGTATTTTTCTTTGGTAATTAAGCTCGTCTGTTTGAGACATTGGTTCATGGTTTCCTTCACATTTTTTCCAAAGGATCAAAGGTCACATACAGCTGTATATGGCAACAGTTGTGTGTACCCTATACGAAACTAACTGCCATACTTAAATATATTACAGCTAAATACATATAAATAATGACGTTCTAAATATATATATTTAATTTACTGATGTATGTATGTGTGCTGCATACGCATGTGTGTGTGCGCGCGGGCGATGTATTACACCTTAAAGGTAATTAAAACGGAGAAAGATTGCTGAACAATGAAATTACATTTTCATGATATGACGTTTCTTTTTATTACTTTTCTCGATGTTTTATGGGAGATTCCGATGTTGCCAAAGACTTATGCCAGGGTGGCTAGGGGAGAAGGAGGGAGCAAAGGAGTATTGTTACAGGAAGGTAATTTACTTGAATAAATGAACACACATAAAAATTGTTATCGTTTGGAGATATTACATTAACACTTGTAAGTTTCAAGTGTATATGTGTGTTTCACACACACATACTCACACCCTTAAATATTGTTATTATATTGGCATGTCAGTCTGAGTGACATTAAGTGTGAAAATATTGTTGTTTTTTTATTGTTAAATAACTCTGAAACATAAAACACTTTGATTCCTTTGCGTATCAAGGTTTTACAGTGAAAGCATCAAGAAAATGTAAAGCATGCTTTTAGGCGTTAGTACATTTTTCTCATATCTCTGCATTTTAATACTTTTAAAGACTTAATTACTGGATTTTTAGTTAATTTCTTTGAAATAAAAGTGTTTACTCTAGATTCCCATAATTTAATTAATAATGTTGTTGATTTGTTAAATAAATTTCTGCTAAATTTGCACTCTATTAACAATAATATTTACACAACTAATTTTGTGTGGGGGATAAATGTTTTCTAAACGCTTTTTCATTTCCTTGTGTGTAGTTCTCTCTATATGTTGATATGTCTGTCTGTCTGTGTGTGTGCGTGTGTGTACGTTTGTGTTATTGCATTGCAAAATGTCAAACCACATTTGTGTGGTATTTTCTATGATTTGTGGTTGGGAAATACTGTAGCGTTTTTATGTGTTGGTTTATGCACTTTGCAGTTGTGTTTACATTTTTTAGTTGTTGTTGTCGTTGTTGGCTCAACTTAATGACAGTTTATCAATTATTGCTAAATTTTCATGGTTAGCCATGTTTCAAAAGAAAAAACAATAACATGTAATTGTTATAAAATTAATTAAAATTAAAAAAATTGTATGTCATAAAAATTAAAACAAACATCAAGTTGAAACATGGTATCACTTAATTAAATCAATTAAGATAAATATTTTTTTATACCCTACAACACTATGTGTTGGGGGTATTATAAGTTTGATTGGCCCAAAAATTATGTAACACCACGAAATATTGGTTTCCCATATAGGAAAGTATATATGGATCTTCCTAGCTCGCCGAGCTGAGTCGATCTAGCTATGTATGTCCGTCCGTCCGTCTGTCCGTCTGTCCGTCTGTCCATGTTAATTTGTAATCACGCTACAGGTCGCAATTATGGCCCGATCCTTACGAAATTTTGCACGCAGGTGGGGTTTGGGTCAGAATAGAACCCTATTGCTTTTGAAGATGATCGCCAAATGTTTAGGGGTTGAAATGGACCAAATACTGAAAAAATGTCGGATTTTGCAGTAGCTCTACAGGTCGCAATTATAGACCAATCGACGCGGAATTTCGCATGTAGCTAGAGTTTAGGGCAGGGAAGAAGCCTACCAATTCGGGTGGTCATCGGATAATATTTAGCGGGTAAAATAGACCATATCTTTTGTGTTGAAAAAAATCAAAATTTTTCATTAAAACGCGAATATTTTAAATCCCGGCATTATCACAAAGCCATCACAAGGTTACTAACTGACCTTTACATTGATGTTAACATCCAACAAATCGGATACATAGCAAAATATGTGCGATATATATGTCTATCAAAGAAGATATGCTTGAAAGATCTCTTATATGTCGAGAACGGCTGAACTGATTTCGACAGTTCTCATTAATTCAGAATGGCCTCTTGGCAGGAAAGAAAAAACATCTAAAAAATCGTATAAAAATATCTCTCTAAAGATGAAAATATTGATTTTCTAAAATTTTCTCATATTTTTTCAATTTTGTCATATTTTTGGCATATTTTCATTTTGAATTAAACATTTGGTAATATTTCTACAGCTAACAAAACTAAGTAGTTAGGATATCAGGATATCATATACAGATCGCATTTATGGCCCGATGCTTACGAAATTTTGCATGGGGATAAGATGAGGGTCAGAATAGAAGCCTACTCTTTTTGGAGATGATCGCCATATATTTAGGGGTTGAAATGGACCAAAAAACTGCAAAATTGTCAGCAGGTCGTAATTATCGCCCGACCCTCACGCACCAAAAATATTCAATGTGCGAAATAGTTTGCCAACTTTTGTAGATAAAATACGAAAATGTCCATTCCAGTGACTTTTTGGAGAATTCACAAATACAGGAAAGACGCATTTCTGACTATTTCGTTAAGGCTGATTTCTTTGAAGAATATAGTCAAATGTCTGTATCTCATATGAATGCGTTTCAGTCAAAAACCAATAATAAATGTTAATCTTTTGCCACTTCTGAGAGATTATAGGTCTTTGGGAAATATTGGTTCCAGATCTAGGAAGACGATTTAAGTACAACATCTACCAATAAATTGGAAATCAGCAAATTAGTTTAAGTTGCTATTATTCGAAGATTAGAGAACGAAACCTGATGGTTTTCTTTTATTATTTGTCACAATATCTTGTGGAATTCATTCGAGTATCTCGCCTATATAAACTGTATCACTTATTATAGTGTTGTAGGGTATTCAACGGTCGGGCCCGCTCGACTGTAGCCTTTGCTTACTTGTTTTGCCATAGGGATGTATTTCTGGACATAATGAATAAAGGTTGCTTTTGAGAGAGAATATATCCATTCAAAGAAATGGGCCATACTTTTTCTGTGAGAAACCAAAGTCTCTTCTCAAAGGCAATTAAACAATGTTGCATAGGAGAAAGGGGGCGGGTTCCACAGAAGCAAAAAGTCTAAGAAAAGAGATATTTCCCCGTCGAAAAAAATCTTTCAGGAGTGGGAGCCCTTCACCACAGGTAAGAGGATTCTTTCCACATTTGGTTATTTTTATAGAGAAAAAGAGAAGGAAAATACGGTATTTCAATGAAGAAAGTGAGGACTTCTGCAGATAATTAATATCTTCTATTCACAGGAGAAGGTAGACCTGGCATAATTGGCTTCTTCCATTGTAGAAACCGTGTTCTTTCCATATAGAAAATTTACTTTATAGTGAGACATTTTCCATACCGGAAAGGGTTTTTTTCCAGAGAGAAAAGATAATTTAATCATAAAAGAAAAAATACATTTCCTATTGGGAAAATAAGTAGTTCTATAGAGAATAGATGGATGGTTAGAAAGTTCTTCAAAGAAAACTGGTCTTTAGTCTGGTCTTTAGCTCGACTTTTTATAGACTCCTTTATATGCAATATATGGTCTTCAGCTCTTCTAGGAATAGAATACCAAGAATGGATTTCAGCGTGTTTAGGAACCGATTCCCAGGCCTGGAACAGCTCTTTTATGTATGGACCCCAGAAGGCTTCCAGGCCAGACGTAGATTCCCAGGTCCTGTCTTGCCAACTCACTCTCATTGCCAGGATAGACATTCATCTCATTCATTTGTAAACTCCAAACTCTGCCTTTCAGCTCGTCTATGAATATGTAGACTACCAAGAATGGATTTCAGCTTATTTTGGAATCGTTCCCAGTCCTGCGACAGCTCTTTTATGTATGGGCTAACAGACCTTGCTTTCAGATCTTCTGTGTAGAAGGCTTCCAAGCCAGACATGGATTACCAGGTCTTGTCTAACCAGACTGGACCTTTATATCCTTAATTTGTTGACTCCTCAATCTGCCATTCAGCTATGGACTCCCATGCATTATATGAATAGACTACCAAGAATGGATTTCAGCTTCTCTAGGAATCAGCTTCTCCCAGGCCTGGAACAGCTCTTTTATGTATGGGCTCCCAGACCTGGTTTGAATCTCCTCTGTGTAGAAGGCTCCCAGCCTCAGCTCAATCTCATTTTCTCATAGACTTCTAATCGTGTCCTCCACCTTATTAGAATAATGATTCCATGATCGTCATCTCGTTTATTTATAGACTCCCAAACCTGGCCTTTATATGGACCTCTTGGCCTGGTATTTATATCGACTTCCAAGCCCCACCTTCACCTCTTCTATAAACTGATCTTTATATATGAATTTCCAAGTCTGTTCTTCAGCTATTTTGTATATAACTACAGGTCTAGATTTCCAGTTCTGGACTTCAGTTCGTCTAGGAAGCGACTCCCAGGCCTGGTACATCTAATCTCTGTATAGGTTCTCAGAGCTAGTTCTTGAGCTCTTCTATGTATAAGGCTCCCAGGCCTGGCCTTTACATGAAGCTTACTTCCCATTCTGAATCTTTATCTCACTCATTTGCAAACTCTCAACCCTGCCCTTAAGCTCAATTAGATTATGGATTCCCTGACCACCTGTTTATAGACTCCTAAGCCTGGCCTTTAAATAATTCATATATGGATTATCGGGACTGATCTTCAGCTCGTCTTTATATAGACTTCCAGATGTCGACTTTAGAACCTCTATGTGTAGACTTCTAGGCCTGGACGTCAAATTGGCTCTGTTTAATCTTGCAGATCTCGTCTTCAACTTGTCAATATATAGACTCCAAAGCATGACCTTCGTCCTGGCTTTCCACACGTTTATGTATAGATTCTCTCCCATGACTTAAACCTCGTCTTGATATAGACTCCCAGGCCTGGTTTTTAACTTCTTTTTAACTTTAACTTTTTATTGAGATAAAGAAATTCTTTAAGTCTATTTAAATAACAAAATTTATAGAACTCCACTCTCCCTTATCGAATATCTCCGCTCCTCTTCTTCGTCTCTTCTCTTGGTATTATGGGATTTGGTTGCAACTCTGCATATTTCTTCAGGCAGCCAATTTTTATTTACCTAAAATGAAACGAGCAGCAAGAAAAAGAGAGGTTAAATAGAACTTAATTCTAAAACTTTGCCAAGAATTAAGAATTGTGGCCCAGGATAGGCTGAGGTTACCCTCTTAACTCTTCGATGCACCTACCTTTGGGGCAGCACGAACTTGTGTAATCACAGCGGAGTTACGGTCTTTCTCTGGTACCACAAACTTGAAAATTGGTCGAAGTAGCGAAAAGTAGACAATCTCGGCAATGGAAATGAAACTGAAGCCCATAAAAAGACCCAAAATGCCACCGGTATTGGCTAAAAAGAGAAGAGAAGATCGATGTTAATATTAATTAAGGTTATGGTACATATGCAGCTTGGCATTATGGCATGGCATATTGAATAGAGAATGTTGGAGCCGCTCTAGAATCCGGCGTCATTTTGGAGGAAATACATAAAGAGCTTTTTTGACTGGCATTAGTCATCGACTGCCTTCTTCGTAAATGAACAAAGGAGCCTAGGGCCCAAATCGAACTAAGTCAACCTAAAACTCCTTTGTTACTCTACGAAAAAGCCAGTCGATGATTTATGCCGGTCAGAAAAGTTCTTTGAGTACTTCCACCTTTATTATTAATACACCATGCCTTGATGCCAAGCTTTTATGTATCATTAGTTTTACTCTTAACCTACACAAAAATTCCGTAAATCCAATATAGACATTTTTCAGTTCCGCATTGATGACCGATTCGCGATAGTAAAAATGTATAACGGCAATATTGCGTTGCACCTCCTCCTTGGGCAAGTTTGTCAAAATTTCACTCTGTATGGTGTAATTGTGCATGGCCAGGGGTGAAGAGAATGCATCCGGCATAAAGGTCAAATCAACACAAGGCGTATGACAACGGGACATACATCTTCCAGCTGGATTCTGTGTCAACTTTGCCTTTTCAATGCAAAACAATCGACTGATATTACAAAATGTTGCATTGTCATAGATTACCGGCAAATAATAGGGTATACAGCCGCAATGCTCTATCAGGAAGGCGGACAAACATTCATTTTCACAATGTGTCTTCGTGTAGTAACGATAAAAGACGAGCTGCTGTTCATCGAGAAAGACACAACGACGTCGGCGACGATTTATCGAGCGAATGGCCGGCGACGATTCGGTGAGTTGGGCATCAATGCGAAATCGTGTCTCCGAACCCAAGGGTACGGCAACACCTCCCTCGCTTATCAGAGGTCTATCCACTGGACTGCCTAAATTCACCTTGAACCCAGCACCACTACTCGACGAGCAGTAGTATTCATCCACATCGGCATTTAGCATGACGGAAACGCCCAGCGAGATACCAGTTCCTGGAAGAGAGAGAGAGAGGGGGGGGGGGGGGGGGGAGAGAGGAATATATTTTTTTAAATTTAGTTGCTTTTTTCGAAGACTTACCATAAGTCGGCCTTGGATAATATTTTGGTGGTAATTTCGTGGGATAGCCTGTTTCGGGATTCCAATCAATTGGTACCAGATCCGGACCATGTATCAGGTCATTCAGAGTCCGATAGCTGTAAGGTTTTCTTTACATGTAGAGGTTTGCTTCCACAAAGAGGATTTCCCCAAAGCAAGGTTGGGAGAAAAACAATGCAATGGGAAATATTTGAGTTTGTAGGTGTAAAGAGAGAAGTAAGCTCATCCATCCGCTCTTCCTCTCTCTCACACGCATCATTATTATAGTACGTTTACAGTTTCCCGTATTGCGTCAAACGTCAAACAAGTCCTCATAAGAGAAGTTAACAAGGCAAAAACCCTCTAATGTAAACATAGTATCAGGGCCATATGTTAAGTGACTTTAAGACATTTATACCTTTGCAGAATAAGGAAGGTAACTTAGTGCAAGCTTTCAAATTTATACCTTTAAAGACATCCCATAGACAAAATGTATATTCATTAACCTATTGTGTGCAAACCAATCAGGGATGGAAAGCTGTTTTCAATGAAGTTAAATCGGATCAAATCAGATATAGGAACCTGTTTTCCATGAATAAAATATAATTAAATCAGAGATGGGAACCTATTCTCTATGCAGTTTAATTTGACAGAAAATACTGAGCTGGATGTTATTATTTGAAAAGAGATTACCTTCTTAGTTCTATTATACCAGATACATGGAAGATTTATCTCATATGTATAGAAGAAATTTCAGGTATATAGAGCGATTGGAATATATCCTCTATACTTGAAAGAGATCTTCATTGTGTAGAAAGGACATTGTAAATGAAGTAGGGATCATCAATTCACAAAATACATTTTCGATCTATAAAAACCTTTTTTAAAACTCTTTTGGAAGATCTCTTCTTTGTAGTGGATCAGCCTGTACTAGGATTGCCCCTTTAATTGTATAATATACTTATCCGTTATGGAACGTTCTACTGACTTTCCCTTGTACAGAAAACGCGGATGCAAGGTGTTAAAGGCACAGCAAAGACCCTCATCGGTGACGACTTCACGAAACAATTCACTGCAATTGACATCCACGGAACTGAGTTGACAGGCCACAAGCATTCGGGAACAGGGCTGGGAATGCTGAATTAAAGGGGAAAAATAAAAAAGAGATTAAAATATAATTGTCGATATGCTGATAGATAAATTAGGTCTATCTGGCTAACAATTATTCCGGGTATAGAATTTAATCCGGGTATAGATTTTGTATGTAGACGCGCTATGAATTTTAAATCTTAAATCCCGTGACGTATACGTAATGGCAATGAATGTTCTTGGACTTATTATGAGAATACGTCCTATTACTTTCTGAGAAGGAAGTTTCTGGGCAATTCTTGCGGGAAAAGTAGTCAGACGGACCTATGCTCTCAGCTTATGCTGAAACATGTCCAGATACGGCTGGAAATGCACAAATAGCATATTTGGCTGGCTTAAGTCATCGGGTGGCTTCTTCGAATAAGAACAAAGGAGCCTAGGGCCAAAATCGAACTAAGTCAACCTAAAAGTCCTTTAGTTTTAGATTGACTTAGTTTTTAAGCCTAAAGCTGGAAATACATAAAGCGCTTATCTGGCTGGCTTAAGTCATCGGCTGGCTTCTTCGTAAATGAACAAAGGAGGTTTAGGTTGACTTAGTTCGATTTTGGCCCTAGGATCCTTTGTATGCTCTTTATGTATTTTCACCCTAAAGCTGGAAATACATAAAGAGCATATTTGGCTGGCTTAAGTCATCGGCTGGCTTCTTCGTAGATGAACAAAGGAGTTTAAGTTGACTTAGTTCGATTTTGGACCTTGGCCGATGACTTAAGCCAGCCAGATAAGCGCTTTATGTATTCTCACCTTAAGCCAGCCAAATAAACGCTTTATATATTCTCACCTTTAGACGGACGGACGGAACATGGTAGAAGAATACAGGTAGTCGCATCGACACAGCTGCTGGGACAATGAACTGTCAAACCTGAAAATTTTAAAATTGATAATTTTGAAATAAAAATTAGTTTAATTCGAGCAGATTACAACCTCCGAATGGCGTCGTATAAGAAAACAAGTAAAAATCCACTCATTTTTGAAAAAGAAATCAAATTTTTTTGCATATAAATGTTTCCAAGTTTTGATGCAACTACCTGTATTCTTCTACCATGGACGGACATTAGCCTGAATGATTTCAAATATCCTTACACGGCTATCGTTCAAAGAGACATTTGATCCAAAATCTTTATTTTGATGAAAAACATTTTTCCCTTCTCAAATGCTACATAACCTCAAACATAGCCAGAAAAACACTTACCGCAATAATAAATTCTGCAAGCTCCAGAGAATTGTTTTTAAACTCTTCCAAATTCTGGGTTTGGGGGTCATTGAAAATGTCCGAATGACACAAATACTGGAGAGCAGCATATTCCCGGGAGCCTCTGTAATTAAACAAAACAAAAAAACTCCAGCATTAAAGTGTCTCATTCCCTCTCCCTATATCTTCCTCTCTCTCTCTCTTTCTGGGAGAGTAAAACACCCAATTACTTTGTGTAGTTGGCAACCTTGGAATACATGGCCTGATTCATGTTGCACAGTGTCAATGCAGGCAGGGGAATCTTTAAAATTGGTGTTGGATGTGGACTAATGCCAATGATGACCGGTGTACTCTCCCATTTGGCATAGATGTTGGATATCAAATGGATCACGGTAATGCAACAAATTACAAAGGCGGCGAGAAAGAATAATCTGGACATAAGATTGAGGTTAGAAATGTCAAAAGAAGGATTTTTCGAATTTACTTTTCCCAGCCATTCAAGGAGTTGTCCACCAAATATTTCAAGCCATGCAGCGTTGTCTCCTGTAAGTATTTCTTAAGATTACCCAGGCAATAGACTTCTAATTGTTCTCTACGTTTTGGTTTCCTTGGCGGCTGCTGCTCCTGCGGATGGGCCATGGCGATGCGTTCAAGGGTTTAGCATTTACTAAAAACTTTGGATTGGATGGAACATATATCGATTTATAGTTTTAAGGTAATTGGATAAGAGCTAAATAGGTAGAGGCCTTTAATTAGTTACAAGCCATGAAATTAGATTTTAATGAGCTTTTCCAATTGCAGCCGGAGAAACGCCCGTTTTAATCAACCCAATGGATATTTAATGGAGGCTTTGACTTTGCTGAGTCATAGGGAGGTCATATAGAGGAGGCGATGAGCCAGGAACTGCACAGAGGGGAAATAATACACAGAAGGCCATAGGAAGGGAGTCATCTTCTCTCTGTTCAAAGTGCTTTCTTTTCCCAGTGAAAATATCCCTACTACTTCCATGGAAATCGCTCCATTTCCGCAATGGAAAGAATCCTCCCTCCTCTTCAAAAATAACCCGATATGGATTGCGCCCTATTTCGTCTATACAAAAATGCCTCTTCCTTCTTAAGGAAAAAGCGCTTTTCCTCCGTGGATAGAACCATCTTTTATTGACTTATTTAAAAATGTCCCTTTCTTCCTCCATGGATAGATCTATTGTTATTGACTTATTTACTGATGCCTTTTTCTTTTATACAAAGTTTTCTCTTCTATGAAAAGCTTTATCATGCCTATGGAAACCCCCCATTTTCCTATATCCAAATGTTTCCTCTTTGGAAAGAACCGCCTCTTCCCTCCTTGTAAACCACACTTTTCTCTGTGGAAATAATTAATTTTCCTCTATTGAAAGACCCTTAATTAATTTATGACAAATCCAATTTTCTCTATGGAAGGAACACTCTCCCTCTTTTCTCTATGGACAGAACCCTTCAACCTTTCCTATTAGGTATTGATCCCCTTCCTGCATTGAAAAAGTTCCGGGGATAACACGCTGATTAAATGCCTCTTGTGCTCATTCGTGGAAGGGCCGTTTTTCTTCCTATGTAATTAAAAAATGTCATTAAAACCAAATCCCATTACACGTAACAAATTAAGGGTCATTAATTTTGGTCACTTAATTGAAGTATTCCAACACAATCACACCTTCATCTTGCCATTATTACATAAACAACCGATGGTCTCTCATTTGGCATTCAACCATTGAACGTTACAGCATGGCCCATCCACTGCAACAGCAAAAACTCAAAAGAAGGGAGCAATTGGAAATCTATTGTATGGGTAATCTCAAGAAATATTTACGAGAAACAACATTACATGGCCTAAAGTATTTGGTGGACAATTCGCTAAACAATTGGGAGAAGTATGGCAACTTATATTTATAACTTCGCAATTTATAAATTCCGTTTCTTTTTCTTTCAGATTTTTCTTCCTCGCCGCCTTTGTCATCTGTTCCATTACGGTAGTCAATTTGATATCAAACATTTATGCCAAATGGGAGAGTACACCGGTCATCATTGGCATTAGTCCGCATCCAACGCCCATTGTAAAGATTCCCTTGCCCGCCTTGACTCTGTGCAATATGAATCAGGCCATGTATTCTAAGGTTGCCAACTACACCAAGTAATAAATTTAAGTTCCCTCAGAGTTCGGGGGAAGATAGAAAGCACAAAAAGCATTAGAATTTAAATTTTCCCTCCATTTTTCAGAGGCTCCAAAGAATATGCTGCACTCCAGTATCTTTGCTATTCGGAAATTATTCACAATCGTGAGATGGAAAAGTCCCCGGAATTTCAAAACAATGACATAAAACCCGCCGATTTCATTGTAAAGGTAGGTCTTTGCTTCCTTCGAATTTCAGCGTTTTAAATTATTTTACATTGTCGCTTTTTCAGCATTCTCAGCCCTGTTCACGAATGATTGTGGCCTGCCAACTTAGCTCCGTTGACATGGACTGCAGTGAATTGTTTCGCGAAGTCCTCACCGATGAGGGTCTGTGCTGTTCCTTTAATGGCTTGCATCCGAAATTTCTCTACAAAGGAAAGTAAGTGAGGAGAACAATGTCTATATTAGCTAAAATTCAATTCACACTAAAGTAGACTCACTAATGGACCCTATAGCTCGTCTACGAGTAGACTCACTGACCGACCTTTAGATGGTATAAATGTATTCTCAATTGCTGACTTTTATTTGAAAAATCCACCTTTGAAAGGGCCCTGAAATCAATTTTTAAAATCCAACTTTGAAAGAGCCCTGAAATCAATTTTTAAAATCCAACTTTAAAAGGACCTTGAAATTAATTTTTAAAATCCACCTTTGAAAAGGTCTTGAAATTTATTTTAAAAATCCAAATTTAAGAAGATCTTGAAATTTATTTTAAAAATCCGAATTTAAAAAGGCCTTGAAATTTATTTTAAAAATCCACGTTTTAAAACCTTTGAAAAAGTTCTTGAATTTTATTTTAATAATCCACGTTTTAAGACCTTTGAAAAAGTTCTTGAAATTTATTTTAAAAATCCAAGTTTTAAGACCTTTGAAGAAGTTCTTAAATTTTATTTAAAAAATTCACTTTTGAAGAACTTTGAAACATCCTCGAAATTTATTTAAAAAATTTTAAAAATCCACGTTCTTCAATTTTATTTTAAAAATCCTCTTTTGAAGACATTTGAAACATCCTCGAAATTTATTTAAAAAATCCACGTTTTAAGTCCTTTGAAACATCCTCGAAGTTTATTTAAAAAATCCACGTTTTAATTCCTTTGAAACATCCTCGAAATTTATTTAAAAAATCCACGTTTTAAGTCCTTTGAAACATCCTCGAAGTTTATTTAAAAAATCCACGTTTTAAGTCCTTTTAAAAAGTTCTGGAATTTTATTTTAAAAATCCACGTTTGAAGACCTTTGAAACATCCTCGAAATTTATTTAAAAATCCACGTTTTAAGACCTTTGAAAGGGTCTTGAAATCAATTTTAAAAATCCACCTTTGAGAGATCCTTAAAATTTATTTTAAAAATCTACGTTGTTAAGACCTTTGAAAGAGCCTTGAAATTAATTTTAAAATCCACGTTTTAGATCCTTTGAAAAGGCATTAAAATTAATTTTTAAAATCCATGTTTTAAGATTTTTGAAAGGGCCGGGAAATTAATTTTAAAAATCCATGTTTTAAGACCTTTGAAAGAGCCTTGAAATTCATTTTAAAAATACAAGTTTTAAGACCTTCAAATTATTTTAAAATCCACCTTTTAAGAGCTTTAAAATTGATTTTAAAATTCACGTTCCAAGGCCTTGAAAAATGCTTCAAAAATTCGTTTAAAAATTCACGTTCCAAGACCTTGAAAAATGGTTCAAAAATTCATTTAAAAATCCACGTTCCAAGATCTTTAAAAATGCTTCAAAAATCGTTTAAAAATCCAAATTTCTGAGCCTTCTGTTAAAAACCCACGATTTCGTACCTCAAAGAAGGCCTTGAAATCCATTTTTTAAGATCTTGCAATTTATTTTAAAAATCCTCTGGCCGACCCTTTAGCTCCTCCATATAAAACCTTTTGAAAATCTTTTCTAAATATGGATCATGACTTCATGTTCAAACTTGCAGTTATTACACCCTAAGCAAGCAGGTGCAGAGTCCAGATATGGTACCGATCGATTGGAATCCTGAAAAAGGCTATCCTGCAAATTTACCCCCAAAATATTATCCACGGCCGGCCTACGGTAAGTTTCATTACAACTGAACCATAAAAAAACTTTAACAACTCCAACTCGTCTTCCTCTTCCCCATCCACAGGAACGGGCATAGCAATGGGCCTCTCCCTCATCTTGAATGCCGAAGTTGATGAGTACTACTGTTCATCGAGCAGTTCGGCCGGATTCAAGATAAATCTGGCAAGTCCCGTGGTAAGATCCCTAATGAAAGAGGACGGTATCATCGTACCTTTGGGTGCGGAAACTAGTTTTCGTATAGATGCCCAAATCACCGAATCATCACCGGCCATTCGCTCGATAAATCGTCGCAGGCGTCAGTGTGTTTTCTTGGACGAAGAACCACTCGTCTTTTATCGTTACTACACAAAGACACATTGCGAAAATGAATGTCTGTCGATCTACTTCATCGATAAATGTGGATGTATCCCGTTTTATTTACCCATAATTAGTCCGAATGCCTCAATATGCAACATGAGTCGCCATTTCTGTATTGAACATGCCAAATTGGCTCATAATCCGTTTGGAAGATGTATGTCACGCTGTCAGACTTCGTGTTTTGAAGTGAGATTTTTACCGCACACATTTTCATCGCCTTTGGCCGTGCACAACTACACGGTAAAGAGCAACCTTTTGACTGGCTGGCCCAAGGAAGAGGTGCAACGTAATATAGCTGTGGTGCATTTCTATTTTCGTGAATCTGTTATACATTCGGAGCTGAAAAATGTCTACATCGGGTTTACCGAGTTTTTGTGTAAGTTCAAAATACACTATTTCAAATTACTATTTTTCAAAAAATACTCTATTGAAAAATATTCCTCAATTTGTTTTCAGCCAATTCCGGTGGCATTTTGGGTCTCTTTATGGGTTTCAGTTTCATCTCCGTTGCCGAGATAGTCTACTTTTTGTTACTACGGCCCATTTCCAAATTTCTGCTACCAAAAAGATATCGCAAGTCTCCATTGCTAATACATGTTCGTCCAGCTCCCAATGTGAGTGTATTTGGAGAATAATTTCCATTTTTAATCTCACTTTTTGTCCCTTGTATTTTTTTTAGAAATATAAACATTGGTTGCCTGGTGAAATATGCAGAATTGGTACGAAATCTTATAATGCTAAAAGAGAAGGAGGTAGACAGAAGACGAAGAGTTATTCTATGAAGAAAAAGAAGTTTTATAAATTTTGTTTTATTTTTAAATACTCTCACAATAAAATATATATTTTTAAGGAAGACCTTAAAATTTCTTTCATAGATCCAAAAGAAAAATTCAAGGCCCTTGAGAAACCTTTCAAATTATTTTAAATATATGAGGTTTAAATATAGATAGCTTTAAAAGGCCATTTAAAATCCACATTTCTAGACTTGGAAGAATCCCTGAAAATCCACTATTACTGGCACTCTCCGCGATTATAGCCCTTAAATAAGGTTTCAAGGTATTATTTTAAAAGGTATTATTTAAAATCCTCGTTCTGGGCGCTTATAATTCTTTCGAAAATCTTTATTTCTATGCCTTAAAAATTCTCATAAAAATACAGGGAAATCTTAAGGAAGGTTTTAATAACTCCACAAGAATCCAGGAATCAAAGCCTTGAAAAAAAGTCAAAATTGTAATAACGCATTGAAGAAGACCTTAAAATTTAATAAAATACGGTTAATGCGTTTATGAAGGGTATTTTATTTTTATTTTATTTATTTTAAAAATCCATGGTTCAAGTCGTTTAATTTTTTTTTATTTAAATCCACGATTCAATGACTCAAAATTTATTTTATGCCACGTTTCATGGTCTTGAATAAGAGCTCAAAATTTCGTTTTAAAACTCCACTATTAAAGTCCTTGACTAAGGGCTCAAAATTTATTTTTAAAATCCACTATTCAAGGCTTTCAAAAAGGTCTTTAGAATTCGTAAAATAATCAGGAATCAGGGTCTTGAATTGGGTCAATGGCTTGTTTTAAGAATCCACGATTCAAAGACTTTAAGAAGTACTCAAAATTTCTTTCCAAAATCCACGATTCAAAGACTTTAAGAAGTATTCAACATTTCTTTTCAAAATCCACGATTCAAAGACTTTAATTAGTGCTCAACATTTCTTTTAAAAATCCACGATTCAAAGACTTTAATAAGTGCTCAACATTTCTTTTAAAAATCCTCGATCCAAGGACTTTAAGAAATGCTCGACATTTATTTTAAAAATCCACGTTTCAAGGCCTTTGAGAAAGGCTCAACATTTCTTTTAAAAATCCACGATTCAAGGGTCTCAAAATTTCTTCCGAATATTGAAAACATTGAAATTCGTTTCAAATATCCCGTAATCAAGACCTAGAGACTTTCCTTAACAATCCACCTTTAAAGGACTTAGAGATAACCTTTAGAATTTCGAAAAAAAAATCCCAATTTAAAGACCTCAAATTGGACCTCAACCTCAAGACCTCAAAAAATACCTTTAAATTCTTAAACAGTCCAAATGTAAAGTCCTAAATCAGACTAACAACATTTCTTAAAACTTTCTCCTTTAAAGACCTTTTAATAATTAAATTATAAATCATATAAACTTTATTTTTTTAAATACCTCAAACTAGACCTTCAGTTTTCCATTAAAAAATTCATGTGAAAAGACTCTGTAAATGCCCTCAAATATCCACATATTAAGACCCTAACTATTCCAGAAAATCTACGTTTATAATTCTCAAACTAAACATACAAATGTCCTTTAAACATTTGGATATTAAAACCTTCAAACTTCCTTTAAACATTCACATCAGAAAATATTTCAAAAATAACCTTTCAAATTCCCACATTTTAGGAATCTAAGAATTTCTTAAAAGCTAGGTTTAGAGATCTCAAACTAGATCTATAAAATTTTTTTGGAGATTAAAACCTTCAAACTTCCTTTAAAAATTCGTATCCAAAATATTTTAAAAATAACCTCTCAAATTCCCTTAAATATCCACATTTTAAAAGTCGAATTATTTCTTAATAAATCTACGTTTAAAGGCCTTGAACTAAACCTTCAAAAGCCCTTCAAAAAATCGGATTTAAAGATATTCATATACATTTTAGAAATCTAAGAATTTCTTAAATTCTAGCTTTAGAGATTTCAAACTAGACCTTCAAAAGCCCTTTGAAAATTCACGTTTAAAAACCTTAAAATGAACGCACAAAATTGTTTTCAAAATTCTCGTAAATAAGACCTCAAAAGAATGTTTTAAATTCTGTTAAATATCAAAAGTTTAAGGCTCCTATTTCCTCGTTCAAAAACACTTAAGTAAACCTTCGAAGGCCTTTAACTAGTCGTGTTCTAAATTAATTCTATTTTCCTGTCCAGAAGTCTTTTCTGTCTATGTAAAAGGGATGCTACTTCCCTCCCTACCCTTCAAACTGCCTTGTACGAAATAATAAAATATTTATTATTTATTTTTCTTTTATTCTTGTTAATACAACATAAATTTTTGAGGATTGTTTTTTTTTAATTTTTTTGTTTGTTTTTTGTTTCTTTATTTTTTAACTACATGGTTTGGAAAATATATTTATATATGTATATATATTTTTTTTGTATATTTATAATTATGTTTATACACTCTCGTAGTTCAGTAGTGTTTATGTTTTTAAAAAAACAAAGTAACTTGGTTGTTATGGTTTTCTTTTTTTTTAACCCAAAAACAAAAAGAAAAATGTTTGAAAAAAAAATAGAAATAGAAAACAAATCCCAGGAATAAAAACAGTCTACTGATTATTCATGGGAAATAGGGGGTTTCTTGATTCGTTTTTGGTTTTATGGTTTTCTTTTTCAGTGTATTAAACTGGGTATAATGAGAGGGGTTTCTTGGAACCCGTCAACACTCTTAAACTAAACAAAATAATTAATAATAGTAATAATAATAATAATAATAATAATAATAATAGTTATAAGATTTTACATTTCATTTCTTAATTATTTAAAATAAGAAAGACCACAAAAAAATGAAACACAATACAACGCATATACAGTGTTTTTTTGTAATGATAAAAAAAATAAAATAATAATAGTATTATCATACTATATATATATAATATAATATAATGAATGTATGAAAATATGTGTTATAATATATATATGAGAGTCTAAAACAACAAATATGAATGTGTTCGGTTTGTTGTTAAAAGCAATTAAAAAAATTAAAAAGAAATAAAATTTAAAAAAAAAAAAAACAAAAAAACTTTTTAAAAAACAAACAATGCAGTGTAACTTTTTTTACATAGATATTTTAAAAACCAATAAAAATTACATTGCTCAATATGTGTGTATGTTCATTTTTGTATACATATTACAAAAAAATGTATGTATGTATACACAATATATATATATTAATATTATATTTCTTTATATAGTGTAGTGTTGTAGTTATTTTATTATGTGGTTATTTTAATTTTTTGTATTATTTTTATATGCTGTTTGTTTTTGTTTTTCTGTAATATTTATGTATGCATGTCATTTAAAAAATATTACTTTATGTACACACTTCATGTACCGGGTAGGGTTTGAGGGGTTTTGGTGGTGGTAAACATTTCTATTTAAACGAAAAGAAAAACCAATGAAGGAACCGTACAATAAAATCATAATCATCAGTGATTCAAAAAAAAAAAAAATAACAATAAATCAATTGTTAAAAAAATACAAGAAAATAAAATTTAATTTAAAAACAAAAATAAAAACATTTAACTTGTCAACATAGTGATTGTGGTTTGTTTGAAACACATACACCCTATTTTTTTACAGCTGGCTGGTTGGCTGTCTGTCTATCGTCTGCTTGTCTGGCTTTGTAAGGCGGCAGCTGTTGTAGTAGTAGTAGCAGTATTATTTCTTTGTATATTTATAGGAGGGCATTTGTGATGCCCGATAGCCTATATTGGGATTAAGACCTATTGGTGGACCAGGATTCATACCAGGACCCCCTCGCCCACTGTAATTGGCAGCATTGACAACCGGCAATGGGCCAGTTGGTGAAGCACCCACAATTGTTGCAGTTGGTGGTGGCATTGCAGAATGCATACGTTGATTACCTGGAAGATAGGAAAGGAAAGAAAATAATTAAAATTTAGCAGGATCTTAAGATTTTGATTTTCAAAATGATATCCAAAGTCCTTAACAAAGCCTGGAGATAATGGACATTTTAATAACTTCTTCAAAATTCGAACTTTAACAGAGCTTGAAGGAATTTAAATTTGGACTTGGGTGTGGAAGTTGAAAGTCTTTTTTTAATCAAATTTTTAAAAGCCTTCCGAGTTCGATTTGGAGGAACTTTACTTTTAAAGTTTTTACTACGATAACCGATATTCCCTTTATGATATCGAAGAATGTTACAAAAACGTAAACTTTTGAAGGTCCTAAAGTCTTTAAACCCCGAATTTTAAAAAATAATTATCATCTTATAAAATTTTCTTCCAGGTATTTTTACGATAATTTTAAATCTGTTCCGGAACTGCAAAAATATAAAAGTTTTTACTACGATAACCGATATTCCCCTTTATGATATGGAAGAATGTTGCAAAAACGTAAACTTTAGAAGGTCCAGGTTGAAGTTTTAAACCCCGAACTTTAAGAAATGATTAGGATCTTATAAAATGTTCTGCAGGACATTTTTTACGCTAATTTTAGGTCTGTTCCAGAATGTAAAAGTTTTTACTACGATAACCGATATTTCCTTTATGATATCGAAGAATGTTGCAAAACTAGTAGATTCTTGCAGGTACTGGAACAGATCATTTGAAAGGAAATTTAAATGTCCATTTTAAGATCTTAAAAAAATACTTTTGAAGTGATTTAAAAAAAAATACTTTTGAAGTTCCAATTTGAGATCTTTGAACCTGGATTTTTAAGGGATTCTTAGATCCTTTCTTTGTGAAGTTTTGAAGGAAATTGGAAGGTCTTAAAAATCGAATTTTAAAGGAACTTTGAAGGTTTAGTTCGAGGTATATAACGTGAATTTTAAGGAATAGTTGGGCTTCTAAAATTTGGATATTTAAGGGAATTTGAAAGGCCTTTTTACGTGTATTCTTTAAAAAAAATAAAAGGCATATAAATCCGAATTTTAAAGGAGTTTTGAAGGTCAATTTTCATGAAATTCAAGAGTAAATTTGAATGGTAATTTTAAGGATTTTAAGGTGAATTTTCAAAAGAGTTTTGAACATTCAGTTTGAGACTTTAAACGTGGATTTTTAAGGAATAGTTAGGGTCTTAAAATGTGGATATGTAAAAGGTTATTTTTAAGGTTTTTAGACAAGGACTTTCAAAGGACTGTTTGAGAAATTTAAAGGTCGTTGTTATTCGATGTTGTAGGATGTTTATAGGCCCAATTTGAGGTCTCTACACGTATTTTTTTACGCAATAACTAGGACATTTTAATGTCAAAATTTAAAGGAACTCCAAAGGTTCACCTCTAGAATTTGTAAAGAAATTTTCAAGTTTTTGATTAGAGGCTTTGAGA